ATACGATCGAGATATCATTTATAAGAACGATTAGTATTTGTCGAGTTGCGATTCCTAATATTATTACTAAAGCATAATTAAAATAAGGATATAAGTTAGCGCTCATAAATTAAGTAAAATATGAATAAAATATTTTCAATTGTCAATAATCTATCAGACTCAATTTTTTTAAAAATTAATATGAAATAAAAGCAGTATATTTAGCAAGGTCTCATATCATATGTAAAATCGAACAACCTCTTTATCTTTTAATCAAACATCACTCCATAACGTTTTTGCACAATGAAGCAATTAATAAAAATAAACCGGAAGAAAGAATCGCTACAGTGGATACAAATCATAAACATATATTATTTTTAGGAACTTGTGATTTTTTTTGTTAATCTTTGTTTTATAACATAGATACATTTGAGTATTATTTATGTTATTTTTTAAAAGTTTATGTTTTTTTATATAGGATACACGCGCAAAGTGCGTACACTAAATCTAGTATATATATATATATATATAATTGTATCTATAAATAATAATACCAATGAACTAATGTTTGTATATCTTTTGCACTTGTTCAATTAAATATCCCTTTTCTTCGAGCTGACATAATTTGTTTGCAATCTGTGCATCCAAGCACATAAAAATGCTGCAAGTCATTTGGCAGACATTTCTAGCTCGATCCGTAAACTCTGCATCTGTCAACTTAAGTGAATTACATGTTCGTTATATCAATAAAAAGCATATATATTTAGATATATAGGGGACACACATAAATTTGTGATTGAATTACTGCAACAGGAATAATTCTTTTCTGAGTAGGAACAACCATGCTTAACAACCATGAGTGAAGTAGATAGGGAAAGTGCATTTATACTTGAAATTAACAAAGTTTCATTATGAAAGACTTAATAGCCTTGCAAATTATTGAGCAGCCATCTCAGATGTAAAAAGAACGATGACACAACTTAGAGATAGGAAAAATAGCAACATGCACCAATTAGGAAGAGCAATAAAATACAATGTGCATCTCAATCTCAACTCAATATTGTATTCTTATGTTGAATGTTAATCTTTCCTATGGCATATTTAATCTTACAGCATATATCACGCAAGAGAAAAGAGTGACTGAATAACTTTTTTCTTCTCTTTTCAATTGAAAGCTACTAAAATATTGACTTTTCCAAGAATGTTAAACTAAAAAGTAAAAACTGACCGAACCGACCGCGACTTCAATTTTTTAATAAGACCTAGGAGAAAAAACTCATAATTTTTCACAGAACAACATTAACAAAATAGAACATAAAGAAAACAAATATATATACAGGGGTTCAATCTTATTTAAGAAAACAAACACATAGAGATGAGATAGAGTGGCAACTGGAAAATTTAATTTAGAAATGCATCTCTCTCGTGAATTAAATCAAACACATTGTGTGACAAACACATTTCAGATATTTTTAATCAAAGAATTCCATAAAATGTAAATTTAGTTCTACCCACTTCGAACAAAAATTTAACACCAAAAACATCATTTTGAACAACCCCAAAATGTGAACACAACCCCAAACTAAAAAAGCAAAGAAAAGAGAACGTGCACCTAAGTATTTCTTGCCAAACATACATATCAAATCAGATAGAGTTTCATACATGCATGTAGAAAACCTAGCAATAAATTATGCAAAGAAGAGAAAAACCAACATTGAACCAAATACGGACAAACTTTTAAAAAAAAAATCCAGAAGTGAAGCCAGAACACAGGAAAAAGAAACATCCGTACTTTTTGGTTTTCTTTTATTGACTCAAGCACTTGTCACCTCATGATGGCCCACTTGTCATGCATTTTTTTCACCAATACATTGAGAGGAATGGACATACACTGGTTTGATACGCCGAGGAAAAACAATCGCCGTTTGATTTTGACATTCATGCTGCCTGACCGGCTAAAGAAGATCGATGCAAAGGTTACATTTCACTTTAGAAACAAAATCTCCAATTTTTTGACCATCCTTCATTGTATCAATGTTTCTAGTACTCCTCATTCGCTTACAAAAGTTAACATATTTTTGGCAAACTTATATAATTCACAACTGGTTTTAGAAGTTCCAACTCAGAAAATTTCATTTACATTATTTTGATAGTCAGGAAGGTATGCAAGACCTTGTTGTTTTTACTATTAACTAATAAGCAATAAATTTTGATCATGAGCTACCTGCTTATTCTCTCTTGTAATAGTAGTAAAACTTAACCAAAGGTCTAGAATGTGAAAAGCAAGATTACTTAAAGAATGATTTTCTGTTTTCTTGCAAAATCCAAGATCATGGTTCTTATACATTTAGTGNTATACACAAAAATATATATATTTTCGGTTAATATTTTGAGAGCGACTATACAGTGTCATTTTCCTATTTGACATAATGTTCTCGCACTGTTGGCGCTATAATGGATGACTCCTGACTGTTTGAGATGCTACAACTTCAGGAAAAAAGAATTACTCAATATTTTCATCAAATCAATATAAATGCAAAAAATGCTTTACATATAGCATTTTTATCGCTTAACTTCTTGTTTACTTGAATGTAAATACTGCGGGTACACTTTTTCGATAATTTCAGAGCAGAGGAAGATCTACCCTTATGGTAGGGAGGTAATTGGAATTTGAAAAAAAAAAAAATATGTGTATATATATCTTAAATAACAAGTATATATTTTAAGGGATAATTTCACATAAGTACAACTCACACATCTGACTTGCAACATAATAGCCTAGATATCACATTGCAAATCTATAGCCCAAAAATAATAGGCTAATTCCCGAAAAAACAGCTTATTTCACACAATCAACATATTATCTGAAGGTAAGAAATTCAAACACCTTTATGTGCAATTTATGTGCAATTGCTGAAGCAATCCAACAGGATAAAAGAAAAATAAAAAATTGATAAATGAATTGTAGAATTCCTCCAACGCGTACAAATCTGTTTCATATAGCACATACACGAAAAAGAAGAAGAGAAGGAAGTGTCAAACTTCTGTAGAGACCTCTTACACGCTAACAATGTATATACATCCTTATAAACTGAAAAAATATATATTTATACAACATTATACACAAATATACACATTTATACACAATTATACAATATTGTATAACTTGTATAAACATGTATAATAGTGTATAAGAGGTGTCTGTATACCCATATACACAATTATACACTATCATACAGTGTCGATACAACCTGCTACATAGATATGATTTTCCAGAACTTCAAACTTCAAACTTCAGAATCTTCCAAAATTACCAGAACTTCAAACTTCAAAATCCTCCAAAATTAGTGGTTGTTTGTCGGTGCAAATCATGTTTGAGAGCTATTTATTTTCAGATCTGCGTGTATTTTCATGTTTCTTTCAAAAATCTTCTTCGTTCTTCTGCTTGCCACCATGGACGACGGAGTCTTTCTTCGAGCCTTCTTCGAGCCATTAATGGCAGAACTGCGTAGGGGGTAAAGGAGGGGAATAGCGGGGGCTAGGTTAAGAGAGGATAAGGGATCTATGTGGGTTAGAGAGAAAGAAGTGAGAGGCGGTGAGAGAGAGAAGGGAATGAAGAAAGAAGAAAATAATAAAAACCCTAAAAGTATGTCTTTAATAGTGGGCTAAAGGCTGAAAAATTTCTTTCAAGTTATGTACAACATGGGCTATATAGGGTAAGAGCTTTAAATGTGGGCCATTTTCGGTTGGGCTATTAGGCCAAGTGACATGGGCTGTAATTCTTTTATATTTTAATTGGCACTCTAAGATTCAAAGTTTAAGCTACTGCATTGGTCCATTTAGGGGCACAACTTGACTTATAATGTACTGCCCGACTTCGATTCTCACTTTAACATTTGCTCAAATTTTTATTTGATGATGATGTCCTCGCCCCTTTCAAATCCTGGATCCGCCTCTGCTTCAGAGTAATCATGCTTTTGATGAATTTGTGATTGGTTTAGCCATTAGAGGGTAATGTGAACGAGTTAAATGCTCTCGTTGCACTTTAATTTCTAGACTAAGCTTAGAGTCGATTCAATAAATGACGACGCACCTTTCTTAGTTGTTAAGTCTACGCTTTGTAATGGTCCATGTATTCACATTGTCAGAGAAGAAGGCTTAATTAAACAAGTTTAAATACAAATGTTAGTGCTTGGCATTTTCTTACTCTAGAAGGAATATAAGTTTGTATTTTCATTTTTAATCAATTTAACGCGAAATTTTACCCAACACATGAAAATGATGTTTCCTAACATACCATCAGCCCAATTTTGTTGAATAAATAATTAGCTTTACCTTATGATATTAACTTGCATTAAGAGGGATATTGAAATATTAAATGCCTTAGTAGAAATAGTTCAACTATAATGATTCTAATGAGCATAAATATAGTAGATTTATATGATTCATATAGGCTACTCCAATATTCTCTAATTGAGGTGTAGACTATTAATTAATGTGTTTAATTTAGATATACTGAAAGTGTAAAGATTCTTTTATACTATCACTAAATTTTATAGAACTTTTACTTTTACCCTTATTAATGGGAAGTTACACAGTTGGCGGCTCGACCAAAAGTATTTTCAATATATAGGTTATACACTAATTATATAATTACACATATATATACATATATTATTTATCTATCTTTTTGTTTTAGTGGGAGGCATTTTGAGATAAATTTCTCTTAATTAATGTGTCATAACAAATTAAGGGATCTTTACACGAATAGCCGGTGAAATTTACAGTCACTTTTTCTAACCAATACACATATATTATAAAATTATCATATATGACTAAACATATATTATACATTTGTCGGCTATTTTTATGCGCTCGGGTAGGCGGCAATTTAAGTTAATTCTTCTCAAATTAACTCCTTGGTTAATTTGGAAACGTGAAGTTTGGGCTTAGCCAATTTGGTCCAAGCAAATCTCAGCCCAGATTCTTTTTGACACTTTTAATACCTTCCTTCCTTCGTAATTAAACCACTCTTCAAGTCTTCACTTTCCTTTTATTCGAAGCCTACGTACATTTCTCCTTGAAAAAATCACCTTCAATTTCCCTCTCTCCCCTCAAACATCAATGGCGTTGGAATGGGTTGTTCTCGGCTACGCCGCGGCTGCAGAAGCAATCATGCTCCTTCTCCTAACAATTCCGGGTCTTGACCCGCTCCGAAAGGGGCTCATCACCGTGACCCGTAATCTCCTCAAACCTTTCCTCTCGATTGTACCTTTTTGCTTGTTCTTATTAATGGATATCTACTGGAAGTACGAGACCCGACCCAGTTGCGAGTCACACGAATCCTGCTCCCCATCTGAATACCTACGTCATCAGAAATCCATCATGAAGTCTCAGCGCAATGCGCTCCTCATCGCATGTGCTATCGTTTTCTACTGGCTGTTGTACTCTGTTACTGGCCTTGTTGTTAAAGTTGAGCAGTTGAATAAGCGCGTGGAGAAGTTGAAGGCTCAGGATTAGGATTGAACTGAATGATTCGTTTGGATATTGGATCGGGTTTCAGGTTTTGGGATTTTCATTTTCGGATCGGATCGGCTCCACTTTTTTGGTGCTAGTTATATGGTATGGCATATTTAGTGAACCGTGTTTCTGTTGTACTGCTTTGATCGTTAATTACTAGTAATAATGTTGTACGACTTGGTTAACTGCTCAATAGGTTGGGTTATATTGTTCTGATATTGAGATTTTGCTAATTATACAATTAGCCAGTGCTTGTTTGATTTGTTTCTTAATTGCTTTATGATCCTGTTGATTCATGCTCGAGGTTTATCTAATTGAAGGATATATGTGGAATTTATGACTGAACGTGCAATGCGTCTTGGATTTCCTTTTATAGTATGTGCATTCTCCTTGATATACCGTGTATGCTCACTTAAAGTGTGATTAAAAAACAAAATGCGAGAATTAGCCAATGTTGTTAAAGGCTGCTTAGCTGAGGGTCTATCGGAAACAGCCTCTCTGCCCTTCCAGGGTAGGGTAAGGCCGTGTAAATCCTACTCGTTGTTGTTGTTGTTGTTGTTGTTGTGAAAGGCTGCTTAAAGTGCCCTTAAGCCCCGAAGCTCGTGAAGCTCAGATTGTGCGCTTTGCCTCACTTAGTTGGGCTTCAGTGTAGGCGTTGAGGTGCTAAAGCATGGTGTCTTAAGCGTATAACAACATATACATAGCTTAATTGTAGTTTTTCTATACATTTGTCCAAATAAATATTGTTTGTGCTTATATTTACATTTTCTTGCATTACATTTCTATTTTCTATTTTTTCTTGGTTGGCGTTTTTCTTTGCTAAACCACGTTTTTATTATGCTTTGCACTTAAAGCTCCAATAGACGTTTGCGCTTTTTTGCACTTTTGACTACTCTGGAATTAGAAAAAGATTGTATGTACCCCTACTAAAACTTACTTGGCTTTCTTTTGGTGGTTTGTTTTGCGTTTCTCAGCTTTTTTTGTTAGTTTCTCACTCTTTAAGTTATGCATTTAGAACTATGGAGCTGCAGTACAAAAGTTGAAAAATCGAGCTTTTGGCATCTTGGCTGAATAAGTTGAGTTAAGATGAAAAGAATAAAAAGGGAAAAAACCGACACACATAATTAAAAGTTGAAACTCTATTTCTTCATCAATGCAAAAGTATGTTAATTGATGTTGTGGAGACTGAGTATAGGTAGTAGCACACGTTGTGGAGATGCTGAATGGAATCTTATAATCTTGGTAATGTATGTTGGTAGAGATTTCGATCTAAGATATTGAATAACTTGTCTGTATCTGTAACTAGACTGGTTACGTTTTTGTTGACAAGGAAATTTCCAAATTGAAAACATTACTAAAATTATTTGTCCTAGGTAAATAAAGGAAGTAGAAAAGAGAAATAATCATAAATGCGTCCAGAAGTGGATGATTGAGTGATTGATATACAAGAGTGAGACCCCAGGTTTCATTCCCATGTACAACGCTCAGTTTATGTGAGTTTATATGCTCCAGGCTTGGTGGACAGGGTTACCTGCCACCTTTGCTGCTTGTGGCGTTGTAGCAGGCTACCTGGTTGTTAGTCGATGTGCATGACTTGAATGATATCACAATCTGTTAGTACTCTAAAGACTTGAATTCTAAAGACTTGAATATCATAATGGCCCGTGCATTGTCTTTTTGAATGATGAGGTGGGCGTGGTTACTTGTATTATGGTTGTTCTTTTGCATTTTCTTATTTTTCTCGTGAGTTTACTTGACCTATATGTCAACAGAGTTAACCAGTTGCCTATTATGGTGAACTCTGTTCTCTTTGGTTTTTGCTGGGAGCTTCTTTTGCTGGTGTTTGACACAATTGGGCTAGATGCTGTCTGATATTTAATAGTGTTAAGTTATGGTTTACTTCTAATTTTAACTTCTCTCTCTTTGTGCATAACACATTTACTAGTATGTTTCTCATACCAAGCTAGTTGGCCCTCTTTGTGGTGGAGCTCCTCATTGACAAGAAAGTTTAACAAAACCATTACTTCCTATTTAAGGATGGCAATGGGCTTGGAGAGTGGTCCAGCCCCCTTCCCTGGACCTCGCGCATAGTGGGAGTGTATTGCACCGGGCTGCCCTTGAATGGGGTGGGAGAGGTCAATCCCCTCCCCCCAAAAAATAAATAAATAAATAATCAAACTCATTGCCACAGCTTCTTTAAATGTTGCTTACCTTTATTTTTCTTTTGAGAGTTGCTCCAGGAGACATCTGCTCCCTTCTTCACAGTCACACCGTTAACCTCTTCACTTTGAAAATCCACCATCTGTAGCCTTATGTGAACCGCTAGGGTAATCTTGACTTGCTAGGGTCTGAGTGAGGTCTCAAGGTGTAGAGAAGGGTTTAATTATGCTTACAGACATGAGTTTATGAGGATTAACTATGCTTACCGGATATAATCAGAGGTGGATCCGGAATTTAAGGTCTATGAGTTCAAGCTTTAATGTTTTAGCATTGAATCCATTATATTTTTAAAGTTATGGATTCATACATATTATTTATTGTTATTTTAGTGACTTATTACGCATAAATTTATATTTGCATCGAAAATACCGGGTTCAGATGAGCCCAACCTGGTATCTGTATGCTGCATCCGCTGCGGTATATAATTCCTAAGGATAGAGCTCAAAGGAGCTGAGAATAGGATTGAACAGCAAAAGGAGCGGGATTTTAAAATTGTATGAGTTGATTGACTTCGTTGGTGAAAGAACTGAACTAGGCTCTGTAAGATTGATTGGAGCTTCTATTTTTCTGTCTATATACTAATTCAAGAAATGGTATCAAGATAGCTGAATTGCCAGGATTAAAAACAGCAAGGAATCAACCTGCATTAAGAGAATTGACCATGATCTTTACAACACTAAACAGCCTGATATCTCCTTGTTTTTACAGCTATTAAGCTAGTATTTACGTGAATGTATGACCAATTATGGAGCCTGTTAAATTTGAGTTCTTGCATTGTTCCACAACGTGGAAGCAATCACTAATGCTTGCATTAGAGTAAACTGTCTATATCACACCCTTTGGAGTGCGGTCCTTCTCCGGACCCTGTGTGAACTCGGGGTGCTTTGTGCACCGGATTGCTTTTGCTTTGCTCCACAATTTTAAATGGGTATTTCCCTTTATGTTTTTGTGATTCTCTAACAAACAAGGACCAAGCATCGGAAAAATTAACATAAAATTAGGTGAGATATTCTTGGTGCCTATGAAAAAGTTTCGTCTTCATTGAGTGGAAGCCTTTTTTGCATATACAGAATATATGTGTTAAAACTATCATTTTATGTCCTATATTTACAGAAAGGAAGTGAAACCCAAAATGAACCTTCTTTAGAATATCCAACACCATAGTATTTTCCCGTGGAACTCGCAATTGCTTTCAACAAAGTTTGGCCAACTCCTGGTGGATTGATTGGTTACTGACGGTATTCATACGAGTCTTTGACTATAACTGAGGGGTGTGTGGCGGGCAGGGGGTTTGTGGGGGGGGGGGGGTTGTTGAGGGAGGTAGGGAGGGCAATGTGATTTGTTACATGTGTACTATTATGCGGCACCTTCTTGAGATTCCTTTGAAGGGCGACGTAAGGCTAAGCAGCTGATGTCAGTGCAGTTACTATCCGCCAACTGAGGTTTCCTCCAGACGCTCGACGAGATTGTCGCCGTACGGGAAAATCAATGTCAAGAGCAATTGAGAGAACATAAATGAGAATGAAAGAAAGCTTGATTGCATTGAAAGCTATTACAGAAAAGCAACACGGCGTCGAGGGGGAGAGACACCGGTACAGAGAATTGTTTGCTTGCCAGAAAGTTTGATTGCTTGATCCCCCTAATAATGCTTAAAAAAATAAATCAAAGTTACAAGACTTGACTTAACTGAGCTAGAGGAACATAATGGAAGTACATGAAATAAAACTACTTTATATTACAATGAAAAATACTTAGTTTTCTACAAGGTAGAAACAGGTCCGTTGGCAGCAACTTTGTCTTTCGCATCAACGTCTGCGCGCGCGGCACTATTTGCATCTGCCTGCAGTTGTGCACTGGCACTTGGTATCAGGATCTGCGCACGCAATAGTGTTTGTGCGTGCGACGCTGTTGGAATCATCATGGTCTGTGCGCGCGGCAGTGTTGGCATCTGCCAGCCGCTGGGCGCTGCCGAGGGATATCGGTTGGACGACGGAGGCACATGCGCACTTGTCACTTGGCGCTGCCGAGACCACGGGGCTGACCATGGCGCTGGGCATTGGGAGGCTTGCCAGGACGCCATGGGGTACGTCCAAGGGGTAATGGGGCATGGCTGGAAAGCAGCCCATCACATTCTCCCTCACATGAGTTGGCGACGTTCTCGGAGCCCTACTTGTAAGGTGATGATCGATCAGGCTCTTGTAGGCTTGGAGGTTTGTTCCCCTCGGTCTTGTGGGTTGGCTTTGTGAATGATGTTCCATGATTTCAGGCGGCTGACATAGAAGACTGGATGGATCTTCCACCAGGATGGGGTATTCACCTGGTATGTGGCTTTCCCAATGCGTCTTTCAATGGACAAGGGTCCGATGTATTTTTGCAATAGGCGAGGGTCATGGGTCCTCTCTACAAACAAGTACCACTTTGGGATGTTTACTATCACTTTGTCTCCGGCTTGGTGTTGAACAAAGCGAAGATTTTGATCAGCATACCTTTTTTCATCCGATTTTGGGCTTTGACAAGATAGCTCCGCACTATCTCCAAATTTCGCTCCCATTCCCTCCAGAAGTTTACAGCTCGAGGAGATTTTGACATGTTTGGTGCATTCGCAGTGTGTGGGAGTAGCGGTTGTTGTCCAGTAACAATTTCAAAAGCGTTTTTGTTTGTACTAGAGCTCTTTTGTGAATTGAAACACACCTGAGCAGCATCCAGAAGCTTCACTCAATTCTTCTGTGATCCGGTTGCAAAGTGGCGGAGATATTCCGCCCCTGATTGTTGTTGACGGATACATCATTGTTGCTGCTTGAGGAAGGAGTCTTGGATTTGATTGCACTCCGATCTCCTCCACTTCTACTAGGGCCACCATTGCTAGGCTGGCTCCCGTTGTAACCCCCTCGGACAGGCGGCTGAGGCCTATCCGTCTTAGTTTCCATATGATAATCCCCAAGGCATTCCACAGCTTGGATCACCTTGGCAGGGTATCAACCCTTTGTCTTTGCAGCTCCATACGGGCATGAGGTTTCAAACCTTCTAGGAATGTGAAGAGTTTGTCTTTGTCACCAATATCCGTATGTTTAGCATGAGCACGGAGAATTTCCGCACGTAATCCCGCACTGACCTGTTCTGGCAGAGCTCCCGTAGCTTTCATTGTGCATTGTACTCCACGTTTTCGGGGAAGAACTGTAGGCGTATGGTGGCCTTCAGTTCTGCCCATGTCTTGAGAGTATCATCCCAGGCCCTGATGGCTTCGTATTTCACTCGCCACCAGAGTTTTGCATCGCCCTGAAGATACATGGCAGCAGTTGCTACCCTTTTGTCTTCTTCTAACTCCCCCACGGCATCGAAGTAATGTTCGATGTCGAAGATGAAGCTCTCTACTTCATTAGCATCCCGAACTCCGTTGTATGGCTTTGGCTTAAAAAAATTCAGTTTTTGTGGCACAGGGGTGAGGTTCACAGCACCCCTGATTTGGTTTTCGCCTCCTCGAAGTAGGCTTTGTAGTGCAGCATTGGCAACATTGAGCTAGCTTGTCAAGATGTCTATGGTTTGTTGCATGGCAGTCACCCTGTCTGCTTCTTGTTGCCTATGGGCTAAATCCTCGGCGCTCTCCTGTCGGAGGTCCTCGAATTTGCCATAAATTTTGGTTGCCGTCCTTCAGAGTCGCGACTGATATTTTCTATGTCAACTTCGGCCTGGAGCATTCTGCGGTCCAAGTCGTCCAACCTTTGCACTAGGTTGGTTTTTAGTTCAGGCACCGTATCCACGAAGGGCCGTAATACGTCAACCGTCTCTTTAAGGGCCGCAATGCGATCCCCATGATTCACCATGGTCAGAAATGGTGGTAATGACAATGTATTCCCTCGTCCGATGTCGAGCCTATGCTCAGATACCAACTGTTACGTGGCCTTCTTGAGATTCCTTGGAAGAGCGACGTAAGGCTAAGCAATTGATGTCAGTGCAGTTACTATCCGCCAACTGAGGTCCCCTCCGTACGCTAGACGAGATTGTCAGTGCCGTACAGAAAAACCAATGTCAAGAGCAATTGAGAGAAAAAATATAAGAATTGAGAATGAAAGAAAGCTTGATTGCATTAATGAAAGCTAGTACAGAAAAGCAACACGCTGTTGAGGGGGAGAGACAGCGGTACAGAGAATTGTTTGTTTGCTAGAAATTTGATTGTTTGATCCCCCTAGTAATGCTTAAAAAATAAACCAAAGTTACAAGACTTGACCTAACTAAGCTAGAGGAACATAATGGAAGTACATGAAATAAAACTACTCTATATTTACAATGAAAAGGACATAGTTTTCTACAAGGTAGAAACAGGTCCGTTGGCAGAAACTTTGTCTTTCGCATCAGGGTCTGCGCGCGCTGGCATCTGCGTGCAACTGTGCGCTGGCACTTGGCATCAAGATCTGTGGGCGCAACATTGTCTGTGCATGCGCCGCTGTTGGCATCATCATGGTCTGTGCGCGCGGCACTGTTGGCATCTGCCAGCTGGTGGGTGCTGGCTAGGGCTATCGGTGGGGCGACAGAGGCACATGCGCGCTTGTCACTTGGCGCTGCCGAGACCACGGGGTTGACCATGGCGCTGAGCGTTGAGAGGCTTGTCAGGATGCCATGGGGCGTGTCCAAGGGGTCATGGGGCATGGCTGAAAAGCATCCCCCATGACAGTACATTTGACATTTGTGTGTATATATATAGTTCTAATGAAAAATGATTAGTTGAATTGAATCCACTGAACCCGTCCCATAGATAGTGAGAATCATGTTGGTGTTTCTTACTTCTCCGTGCAACGATGGAACTTCTACTTGAGTTCTATATAGTAGCAATAGAGAACAAAAATTGACCAGTCCTAGCAAGTAATCTATCATTATTTCCAAGTTATCAACCTATACGTACGTGAAGTTATATTTTATCTGGCTCTCGACTATGTAAATATTTTTTATATCATCAGGCATTAGCGCATAAAATTCAAACTCTCTTTTTAATATGGAAGGTTTACTGTAAGTGTTAGAAATATGCTTTAGAAGCTGCTCTCAGTAAAATTATTTTACTGTTTCAGCTTAAGAGTTATTTACTACAGTAATTTGGTTTGAATTTGAAATAATTTTGAACTAGTATTTAAGAGTGAACTAGTCTCTAAGAGTTTGTTATTTTTAGCAGATTTTGTGCTGATTTTTAGGTCTTTTAAGTTAGTATTTCTATTATATATTGTAGTCCAAAATGCAGTAAAATTATATAGAATTTTCAGGTTCAGTTCCTTTTACATCTATTCCAGTATACTCTTTTTATTTTCCTGTTATCTTCCCCGGTTATTTCCCTTAATTTCTTTTATCAAGAACCAACAATTGGTATCAGAGCCATCTTCTTAAGGGACCTAAGTAAAATCTTTTCTTGAGTGAGATGGAGACTGAAATGAGTTTTTCTCAATTGGCTCCTCCAGTCTTTGATGGTGAAAATTACCAACTGTGGGCAGTGAGAATGGATACTTACTTGGAGGCTTTAAATCTTTGGGAGGCCGTGGAAGAGGATTATGATGTTCTTCCGCTGCCTAACAATCCCACGGTGGCCCAGATAAAGAGTCACAAGGAAAAGAAAACCAGAAAATCAAAGGCGAAAGCAACTTTGTTTGCTGGTGTGTTTGCAACAATTTTCACGAGAGTTATGGCTCTCAAATCAGCAAAAGAAATCTGGGATTATCTGAAGGGAGAATATATATGAGATGAAAGAATACGAGGCATGAAGGTGTTGAATTTAATAAGGGAATTCGAGTTGCAGAAAATGAAGGAATCTGAGACTGTCAAAGAATACTCAGATCGGTTGCTTGGCATTGTTAACAAGGTAAGATTGCTTGGTACTAAATTTAAAGATTCAAGAATTGTTGAAAAAATTCTTGTTACGGTGCCTGAAAAATATGAAGTATCCATAACTACCTTGGAAAATACAAAGGATCTATCCAAGATTACCTTGGCAGAATTGTTAAATACATTGCAGGCACAAGAGCAAAGGAGGCTTATGAGGCAAGATGGTATGGTTGAAGGAGCCCTGACAGCCAACCACAAAACTCAAAGCAAGGGTAATAATGTTAAAAAAAATTACCCGCCTTGTTAGCACTGTGGCAAAAAAGGTCATCCACCATTCAAATGTTGGAAGAGGCCAGATGCAAAGTGCAAAATTTACAACCAACCTGGTCATGAAGCTGTAATTTGCAAAGGCAAATATCAAAAGCATGAAGCAGATGCCCAAGTCGCCAATGAAGAAGAAGAAGATCACTTGTTTGTGGCAACTATTCTTTCAACCAAAAAATCTGATTTTTGGTTGATTGACAGTGGTTGTACAAACCACATGACATATGACAGAAATTTTTTCAAAGAGTTCACGTCTATAGGAAATAAGAAAGTCAAAATTGGAAATGGTGATTATATTCTTGCTAAAGGAAAAGGAACTGTTGCAATCCCAATAAATTCAGGTACTAAGAAAATTTCAGATGTTTTTTATGTTCCTGATATTGATCAAAATTTATTAAGTGTTGGACAAATAATGAAAAAAGGATTTAAAGTATCGTTTGAAGATAAATATTGTTTCATTTATGATGCAACTGGACTTGAGATTTTAAGGGTTAAAATGAGAGGTAAAAATTTCTCATTTGATCCAACCGAAGATGAAGAATGGAGCCAAAAGAATCTACTAAGTGCAGGTAATTCTGCAACTGAGGACATATGTGAAAATAAGGTAAGGAAGAAGTTGTCAATATTTCAGAAAATGCAATTCTGGAAGAAAGTTGACAAGTCTCAAGGCAAGATGCAAATGAAGCTGAAAAACGAGCCAACTTATTTCATTAACAATGAGATGCAGCAAAATACAGAAGTGAACTCGATTCACTGCAAGTCCAAAGATCAATTGGCAGATTTACATACAAAGTCGCTTCCAGTTAAAGGTTTACAAGGGACAAATTCAGAATTTGAAACTTCAAAAGCAAGGAGGAGTGTTACAAATATGCTTTAGAAGTTGCTCTCAGTAAAATTATTTTACTGTTTCAGCTTAAGAGTTATTTACTACAGTAACTTAGTTTGAATTTGAAATAATTTTGAACTAGTCTTTAGGAGTGAACTAGTCTCTAGGAGTTTGTTATTTTCAGCAGATTTTGTGCTGATTTTTAGGTCTTTTAAGTTAGTATTTCTCTTATAAATTGTAGTCCAAAATGCAGTAAAATTATATAGAATTTTCAGCTTCAGTTCCTTTTACATCTATTCCAGTATACTGTTTTTATTTTTCTGTCATCTTCCCCGGTTATTTCCCTTAATTTCTTTTATCAGGAACCAACAATTGGTATCAGAGCCATCTTCTTAAGGGACCTAAGTAAAATCTTTTCTTGAGTGAGATGGAGACTGAAATGAGTTTTTCTCAATTGGCTCCTCCAGTCTTTGATGGTGAAAATTACCAACTGTGGGCAGTGAGAATGGATACTTACTTGGAGGCTTTAAATCTTTGGGAGGCCGTGGAAGAGGATTATGATGTTCTTCCGCTGCCTAACAATCCCACGGTGGCCCAGATCAAGAGTCACAAGGAAAAGAAAACCAGGAAATCAAAGGCGAAAGCAACTTTGTTTGCTGGTGTGTCTGCAACAATTTTCACGAGAGTTATGGCTCTCAAATCAGCAAAAGAAATCTGGGATTATCTGAAGGGAGAATATACAGGAGATGAAAGAATACGAGGCATGAAGGTGTTGAATTTAATAAGGGAATTCGAGTTGCAGAAAATGAAGGAATCTGAGACTGTCAAAGAATACTCAGATCGGTTGCTTGGCATTGTTAACAAGGTAAGATTGCTTGGTACTAAATTTAAAGATTCAAGAATTGTTGAAAAAATTCTTGTTACGGTGCCTGAAAAATATGAAGTATCCATAACTACCTTGGAAAATACAAAGGATCTATCCAAGATTACCTTGGCAGAATTGTTAAATACATTGCAGGCACAAGAGCAAAGGAGGCTTATGAGGCAAGATGGTATGGTTGAAGGAGCCCTGGCAGCCAACCACAAAACTCAAAGCAAGGGTAATAATGTTAAAAAAAATTACCCGCCTTGTTAGCACTGTGGCAAAAAAGGTCATCCACCATTCAAATGTTGGAAGAGGCCAGATGCAAAGTGCAAAATTTGCAACCAACCTGGTCATGAAGCTGTAATTTGCAAAGGCAAATATCAAAAGCATGAAGCAGATGCCCAAGTCGCCAATGAAGAAGAAGAAGATCACTTGTTTGTGGCAACTATTCTTTCAACCAAAAAATCTGATTTTTGGTTGATTGACAGTGGTTGTACAAACCACATGACATATGACAGAAATCTTTTTAAAGAGTTCACGTCTATAGGAAATAAGAAAGTCAAAATTGGAAATGCTGATTATATTCTTGACTAAAGAAAGGAACTGTTGCAATCCCAACAAATTCAGGTACTAAGAAAATTTCAGATGTTCTTTATGTTCCTGATATTGATCAAAATTTATTAAGTGTTGGACAAATAATGGTAAAAGGATTTAAAGTATCCTTTGAAGATAAATATTGTTTCATTTATGATGCAACTGGACTTGAGATTTTAAGGGTTAAAATGAGAGGTAAAAATTTCTCATTTGATCCAACCGAAGATGAAGAATGGAGCCAAAAGAATCTACTAAGTGCAGGTAATTCTCCAACTGAGGACATATGTGAAAATAAGGTAAGGAAGAAGTTGTCAATATTTCAGAAAATGCAATTCTGGAAGAAAGTTGACAAGTCTCCGGGCAAGATGCAAATGAAGCTGAAAAACGAGCCAACTTATTTCATTAACAATCATGAGATGCAGCAAAATACAGAAGTGAACTCGATTCACTGCAAGTCCAAAGATCAATTGGCAGATTTACGTACAAAGTCGCTTCCAGTTAAAGGTTTACAAGGGACAAATTCAGAATTTGCAACTTCAAAAGCAAGGAGGAGTGTTAGAAATATGCTTTAGAAGCTGCTCTCAGTAAAATTATTTTACTGTTTCAGCTTAAGAGTTATTGAACTAGTCTTTAGGAGTGAACTAGTCTCTAGGAGTTTGTTATTTTCAGCAGATCTTATAAATTGTAGTCCAAAATGCAGTAAATTATATAGAATTTTCAGCTTCAGTTCCTTTTACATCTATTCCAGTATACTCTTTTTATTTTCCGATCATCTTCCCCGGTTATTTTCCTTAATTTCTTTTATCAAGAACCAACAGTAAGAAAGTGGAAGGTTTTTGATAAAATATACCGAGGGAAGTGTATGAGGGATGGGCGCAGATGAGGATTAAGGACAATAAACTTCTCTAAAAATTAAACCAAAACCATATTTCTATGTAGTTCTGGAAAAATTAAACAAGATTCGGATCTTTTAAAGACGTGAAAACGTAAAGGTAACTTCACCATCTTCAGACACTAATTACAGAGTACCTTTATACAAAGGTAAAGATCCTAAAAAAGACAGTGAGATGGTAAGTCTATCATGCATTTACATAACTCCAATTTGGAGAAAACAAAACAAAACAAAAACTAAATACTTCCATGGTTAAAACAGATTGCTCTAACTTACTCCATCACCATTGATTTCCTAGTTTTTGATAACCGAAAAAATCCCCGATAGTCTGTGGTGCATGGTTTGAAACTCGGTGGATACTGAGGTCACCTTTCTAGTCTTATCCACTTAAATACCAGGCTTTTTATCTGCGGCAATGTTGGAAAAACATGACGTGCGCCTAATACACACATCACATGCTATGCACTTACCACTAGATCAAACGGTTAGGGGTTCATCATTGATTACCTATTTACAAGCTACTTTTTACCTTCGTCCTAAACATTTTAAACTCCTCCGTTAGGCTGATGGAAACTAGGCCTCTTCCGCAGGACTTGGTGGTGGTGGAGTAAGTACTTGAGCCCTGCAACCCAAATGCAAAACAGTTCCATGGCCACTGGAGCTACGGTTGATTCTTGAAAATAGGTCGACTTTAGTCCCTCTTCTTTGTGATGCGAGTCGACTAACTAACAACTCCAATGCTTCTTTCATCCACCCATTTTGGCAGAGTTTTCTTGCTTCTCGCACGCTCATCTGCAAAATTGATGTTTGGAAATAGACGATTATGTTAAAAGGGCAGTCCAGTGCATTAATATAAGCTCCCGCTATACGCTGGGTCCGGGGAAGGGCCGGACCACAACGGTCTATTGTACGCTGTATTTCTGCAAGAGACTGTTTTCACGGCTCGAACCCATAACCTCCTTGGTCACATGACAACAACTTTACCAGTTACGCAAAGACCATTATCTGATACTGTTTATATGGAAATTTATAGAGTATGGGCAGGTGCATACCCAAAATCTTTCGCGGATGTCTTTCTCAGGCCAACAATCTAGCTCCTCTGTTACAAATAAAGGAAACATGTGCCCTTCATAGGCAGTATCGCCGTTTTTGTTCTCAAAGTACCATATTCCTAGTTTGCCCTGCAATAAGGTTTCCAATCCAAAGGAGACTTGTTAGGACTACATGTAACGACCTAATGTAGAAATTAACGCTTTATCAAGACCAAGTTCAACAAGAAAAAAAGCAGCCAACCCTTGTAAGGAAAGAAATAATTTAATCTATTTTTCTGGCTTGGCTAGGTGGGATAGCCGAGCCATTCTCTTTTCTTCTGGATAGCAGGTTAGGTAATTTTACTAAAGAAAAAAATCTATTCAGTTAGCCCAAAAGGAAAGAAAGGGATTCGAACCCTCACTAGTTCTTTGTTAAAACTAAATATGTTTTTAAGATTTTTTTTCACACTAGGCGTACTTAGTTGACTTGTTACCAATGATTTGGCAAATAAGAAAATAGTATTTAAAAGAAACTACCTAACTCAAAATTCAGGATTAGTAGTGAAAAGTTGTAAATGAAAGAACTTTCAAATGGCTTTCGGCTTCGTAATCTTATTCTTATTGACATATCTCTAAACCCCACTTGTGAGATTATACTGTGTTTGTTATTGTTATATATCAGCCATTTGAAAGGTCCATGGCAGTCAACTTTTTAACCAAAGCCAATACTCTTTCATATCTTGTCACAACCATATAACCAAATACAGTCAGACCTCTCACAGCATCTCTATATAACAGAGATTCACTATAAAAGCCAAATTTTCCTCGGAATCGATTTTTATGTAATATTATAATATATATCCTATATAACAGCTAGGGGTGTTCATAAAAACCCGAAAAACCGAACCAAACCGAAAACCAAACCAAACCGACCAAAAAAACCGATACTTTTTGGTTTGGTTTGGTTTTGGTTTTGAATTTTAAAAACCGATCAAATTTGGTTTAAAATCAACAATTTAACTCTAACACGGATAATGAGAATAAAGACGGATTTCACTGTAAGTACACATCTCGTTGCAGGCGTGCAACCCGATCCCATTTCTCATATCTCGTGGTAGGCGTACCACCTGCTCCCATTTCATCAANTGCACTTTTAGTACATTTTTTTACCTTTATATTCTAGTTTGATTGGTAGTTTTCTTTTGTTAAGTGTAAGAATCCATTTCATGTTAAAAAATATATATTTTTAATTGAGTCCTTAAATTATTCATCACTATTTGATTCAATTATCATCAATATATTTTAGTATAATAGATTTCTCAAAGGGCAATTGATTTGATAGTGTTACGTTGAAAATGTGGTCGCCGGAATATATGTGTTTTATAGTGTATGTCTTATATTTAAGAAAAAACCGACAAATAACCGGAAAAACCGAAAAATTGATAAAATCCGACATAAACCGAATCGGGAAAAATCGACTTAATTGGTTTGGTTTGGTTCTAATATTTAAAAAACCGACTGACTTGGTTTGGTTTCTTTTTAGAGAAAAACCGATCCAAACCGAACCATGAACACCCCTAATAACAGCATTTCACTATAACAACCAAAAAATATTGGAACAAACGAGGTTGTTATAGCTAGGTTTGACTGTACCATTTTGCTTATAGGCACTTAAAAGCAATCGCTGTTAAAAACTAACCTCAACATCGCCACAAACACCAGCTTCCTCTATTGTCTCGCGTCTTGCTGCATCTTCAATTGTTTCATCCTTTTCCCAACCTCCCTGGCATAACAAGAGCATGATTTGTAAGCAGCAACAACAACAACGATCCAATAAAATCTTACAAGTGGGGTCTGGGGAGGGCAGTGTATACGCAGGCCTTACCCCTACCCCGATAGGGTAGAGAAGACTGTTTCCGATAGACCCTCGGCTCAAGAAAGAACAAGATTTGTAAACAAAACAAACAAATCAATCTAATAGAGCTTAGACAACAAACTATCATTAACTTTGGGAGCCATAGATCTGTTGCTACCTTTGGAAACAACAATCCTTTTCCTTTTCTCTGAGGACTTATGAGAAGAACTTCAAATGCATCTTCGGCCGCCATAGATAGGTCAATAATATCTTTATATCTGTACGGTATACACCTGCAGAAGACATCAAACTCATCTCAGGACAACATAAGCATAAAGCATGTAGTTTTAGCATGCGGTGCACTATGCTCCCGCTATGCGCGGGGTCCGTGGAAGGGCCGGACCACAAGGGTCTATTGTACGTAGCCTTACTCTGCATTTCTGCCGGAGGCTATTTCCACGGCTTGAACCCGTGACTTGGAGGTCACATTTCAGCAACTATATCAGTTACGTCAATGCTCCCTTCAATTAAATACAGTAACTAAGGAAAAAATGGTCCTTTTCCCAGAGAAAACAAAGCGTGTGATGAGGTGAACAAAATGCCAAGAGCACATGATATTGACTTTTTCAAGCTAATAGAAACATCCAAAGGAAAAATAAACACCTAAACACACAATAATACACAAATTGAAGAAGAAAATGTCAAAATGAGCTCCTATTGATAAGATAAAGAAGTGGAAAAAGAATGTTAACCAGTTGTTTATTTTTATCAATCTTTTGGAAAATGTCAAAACTGAAACAGTTCACCTTAAGTTCATTTTCGAAAAATACAAAACTTATTTTTCAGACGCCAGTAAATTGAGAAGCAGCAAATTAAACAAGTAATTATTTCAAAAACTCTAATTTGTGAATCAATCCATTTTGCACACAAATTAAAGAACATCAAGCACGTAAGTTGCGCAGACTCTTCGTTTTTGGTTCTGCACCCGTCTCGACACGGGACGGATGCCGGTGTGAGATACGTCCCGAATACGGTCAACTAACTTCGGATACTTTGACCCGAATCCATTGACAAATTTTGGCGGGAAATGAGATTTTAATTTCTCAAAATTAAAAATAAAACAGATTTAAGACATGAAAAATGACATACCTTCGATATTGTAATACTTTTATCTCATATTTGTTGTTTGTGTTTCAGAAAAACGAAGAATTCAAGGGGTCGTGTTATGAATTCGGACTTCTGGTAGATAGTTACAGCGATATAGATGAAGGGTCTTTCATAGAATATCTCTCAAAAATTATAATATCTTTATAGCGCTATTTTTCATACTGGGTATGTTATTATTGTTGTTGTTGTTGTTGTTGTATAGCTCTATTTTTTATAATTTTGAATTTTCTTAGTCGAATTTTCGCACTCGTATCCATACCTAGATCCACACCCCCAAATTTTAAAATATAGATTTTACTGAATCCAACACTCAGATCCATGCCGGTACCATGTCGGTACCGGATATGCACCCGAATCTGAACAACTTAGTCAAGCACCCTCTAGAATCTTGATGATCACCACTACCACACTCCCACTTACAGAACCAAAGGCTGAAAATTGAAATTGTTCTAGTAATTGCAAAGTGAAATGGACCATTGATTCTATCATTTTGTTCATTCCAGAAGTCAACTCTTCATTAATCATTACACCCTCTTTCCTCCCACCCCTCAAACTAAAATTTTAGGTAAAAAGAAACCCATGGTCTACACTAATAAAGACCGTCTTCTTTTTTTTTTTTGAATTCTCACTAGCTACAATTTTTTTTTAACTCCTTTCGTGGAGATCCTGCCTCTACGTCTTTAAAAGACGTCGAAAAAAATATACTCCCTCCGTTCAAAATAAGTGATTTTTTGGATGTTTTCACACAAATTAAGAAATTCACCTTTTAGCATTAATTAGCAACGGAATTGACCATATTAACCTTTACTATCTTACATAAACACTCCTAACACATATTCTAACACCATTTACTTCAAGGACAATGTAGAAAAAAAATAATTAATTCATTCTTGAAATCTAAAAAATCACTTATTTTTGACCACAAGGAAAAGGCCAAAAAATTACTTATTTTGGACCGAAGGGAGTATTAATAAATACGAACCTACTGCCAGCAGAGGTGAATCCAGGATTTGAATATTATGGATTCGAGTTCGGAATTCTACCCCCAACTCGTCTGCTTTTCTGGGATCCAACTCTACCTCTTATACTTATGTAGTGAATGTTTTACAATATACGTGGTCTGAGCCAAAAAAAAGGCTGATCTAGGATCTTTATAATATGATTGCACCGCTAAAGAAAAGAGAAAATAAACAGAAATTAATCCCAGCTCCAAACTTAACAATCAATCAAGTGCATCATTTAGCCCCTTTAAAGCTTGGATGCCAACAGATAATATTATACTATCAATTTTCAAAAATATGTACACAAAATACCTAGTTTGACGGAGAGATCATGGGTTCACGTGCCCCATATATTGTACTATAAATCCGCCCCTGGAGCCAAAGTTACCGGGTTCGGATGGTAAGTCCTTAACTACATCCACCCCTGAGTACCAGAAGGCCCCCGGCCTAAAGGGCTCCGGGGGGAGACAAATGTACAGCCTCAACTCCTCATTCAAGAACTTCTCATTATACAGGCTAGTTCCAAAACTCGAGCTTTAATTTTAAGAGTCTAATTCCAAAATTTACCTATAGAAACACAGTTCTAATCTCAGTTGCTCCAGAGGCCCAAATTTGGACTAAACCACAAATTTTGAAGCAAAAAAGAAGAATTTATAGTCTAAAATAAATTAAATCATAGACATTAGTTCGGCTAGAAAGCTTAAAGTTAAATTGATTCTATGCATACAAATAGGAAAGAGCATCACATAAATTGGATATAAATAATTTTTGAATTAACATACCCAACAATTTGACGACGACCTTTGTTATAACGCTGCAAATGCCGGCCAGTACGTGAAACCATAACCACCATATTTTTCAATGGGAAAAAATACGTATTATAAAAAGAAGTCTTTATTTGAAATACTACTAAGAGTTATATAGATTGTAAAACCTGAAAAACAAGAGAAACCCCAGAAAAGAAATGAGGAAAAAAGGGAGAGAAGAAATGGTATGATTTTCCAATTTTGGAGTGAAAAATTGTCTATATGTTTCGTTTTCTGTAGTAATCTGTAGTGCAAAAGTGCAAAAACCGTTATTTAATGATACGAAAGGGCGCCTTCAACTTCCTATTTTAATCGGTGCGTTTGGAGGCATACGTGTACCTGACGCGGCACGTGTGTACGCTTCCTCCATTTTCTATACGTAACTATTATTAATTGCAGCAACGGTAAATGTGACCTATAGGAAGATGTGGATGTCGAGTAGGGGTGTTCATAAAATTCCAAAAAATTCGAACCAAACCAAATCGACCAAAAGAATCGGTACTTTTTGGTTTGGTTTGGTTTTGGTTTTGAATTTTAAAAATCGATCAAATTTGGTTTGATTTTTGTTTTAATTAGAAAAAAATCGAAAAGAAACCAAACCAAACGGACTATAGGAGTAGTTATTTCAAATTTATTATTACACACACACACACACACACACATATATATATATACACACACACACACACACAAAGTTTTAAAAATTTAATGGTTAATGTTAATAGTTTGCACTTTTAGTATAGTTCTTTACCTTTACATTCTAGTTTGATTGTTAGTTTTCTTTTGTAAGTATAAGAATCAATTTCGTGTTAAAAATAATATATTTTTAATTGAGTCCTTAAATTATTCATTACTATTTGATTCAATTATCATTAATATATCTTGGTAAATAATAGATTTCTCAAAGGGCAATTGATTTGATAGTGTTACATTGAAAATGTGGTCGCCGAAATATATGTTTGGTAGTGTATGTCTTATATTTAAGAAAAAACGACAAAAAACCAAAAAACCGACAAAACCCGACATAAACCGAATCGAGAAAAAACCGGCTTAATTAGTTTGATTTGGTTCTAATATTTGAAAAACCGACTTACTTGGTTTGGTTTCTTTTTAGGGAAAAACCGATCCAAACCGAACCATGAACACCCCTAATTGTCGAGTATTAGGGTTGTAGGTTGACAGATAGTAGTGTGTTCCTCCTAAACCGACCAATAGTACTAGGATTATTTTTGTAATTTTGTATTTATAGTTCTTTATTATGCATGATGTGGCATTCACGCCCGTTACCATGTTACATTGTTGCTAATATTCTTTGCTACTTGGTTGCTTTATCTTCACTGTTCCTTGAGTCGAGGGTCTATCAGAAACAACCTCTCTATCTCTATGAGGTAGAGGTAAGGACTGCGTACACACTACCATCCTCACACCCCATATATGAGATCAAACTGGATTTGTTATTGTTGTTGTTGGTAAATGTGATCTATATGTCACGGGTTCCAGTACATCACACTTTTTGGATGCGGCTGAACCCTATGTGAACACGGGATGCGACTACTCTTTAACTATTACTAATTGGAACTAGTATTAGTACCCGCGCGATGCGCGGATAAGTAAAAAGAACGATCGACACTGTAAAGTTTAATATGTTAGTGTTAATACCACCTTTACAACCAAACATTAAAATCATTTTAAGACTCGAGTAAAACATTCATCCCATCTCTTAATAAATGTTCCATAAAAAATAATGATACTATACAATTTGTTTGATATGAATGTTCCACGAAAAATAATGATGCTCTCCAATTTGCTTGATATGAAGCATGTGCTTAAGAGAACATTTTTGTAGCAAATGCTCATGACATATTGCAGTGCATTTTCCAAAAGTTGTTCTCTGTATTGAGGCAATGATGAAGGAACATGAATTATGGCAAACATTAGGTCCTCCCTATATCAAAATGTATGGGGCAATGCATATGCAAAAACTAATTTTCTGCTAAGGCTCTCTCTTATTATTGTCTGGCATTTGTGGCAATTGAATATTTTTACTCTTTCTACCATTCCACAGGCTTTCTCTATTAGCCGAACATTGTCTAAAGCCAAACTACGGAGAGCTGATAAATTCGGTTATTCAAATCATAGATGAAGCCGGTAGAAGAGTTGATTATGCTGAAGTGAGAACTTAAACAATAATAATATATTTCATATGGATATAAACAATAGAATACCAACTGGGAACTCAATCTGTTCCCAATATCAAAAATAGAATACCTCTTTGCAGTGATATACCTCTTTGCAGTAATAAACTTCTGGTGAACTGCCACATAACATAGTAATTCCAAATTAAAAATATTAACTAAAAAAATTATACATAAAACCAAAGAATCAGAAGACAATAACAATACACAATAATTAAATGATAAATCATTTATAACGTATTAATATGAATATTTTTTGTCATATAATATTATTCCTTATATGGTAAATTTGAGCTGCAAATATTTAAATTTCTAAGTAATATACAGTTGTATTATGCAGATCTAACATGTTTTGTCCATGTATGGCTTGTACTTTTGGATCCCAATATCTAACTATGGTTTCATAACTCCATCATAATGAATCACTGCATCCTACTCAATTTCAGCTCGGTCGACGCTAGAGTCATACCCCAACCCGAGGACATGCCATCGCCTATCTAGAGCATGTGTATGTTTGTAAAAAGTCATCCAACCAATTGGCAAACTACCAGCTTTCAGTAATTGTCTTGTCTCTTACTTCCCTACATCAGCACAATGACATAAACTAAATGTTTATAGCAATGATGATAAAAGGAAAAGAGTATATAATAAAACAACAATTTTTAAACAGTAGGATATAGATCTATTACCAGCTCCAAGTAATTGTGATAGAGCGCAGTTATGTTTCGCTTCCTCCACTTTTGTAGATCAAATATATTCATCCCAAATGCCCATGTGCATGTGTTTGCATCCATAATTTTTCTAGACTCATTAAATTAAATTATGGAAAACTTCTTTGTACACTACATTTCTAGCTTCATTTGTTATTTTTTCTTCATCGTCATAAACTAAAATCTTTAACCCTTTTCTACTTGTCACCCGTGAAAGAGCAACATACAACTGTCCATGTGTAAATACTGATTTCTTAAAAAATAACCAAACATGAGACAATGACGAGCCTTGACTTTTATTAATTGTCATGGCAAAAGATACCACAATTGGAAATTATCGTCGCTGGAACTTAAAAGGTATTCTCGCATCAGACGGAGTCAACGTCATTCTTGGAATAAATATTTTTTCTCCAACCATATTACCTGATAAAACCTTGGCTTCAATAACTCGATTTCCAAGTCTTGTGATGATCAACCTTGTACCATTGCATAATCCCGATGACTGGTCTATATTTCTCACTAACATCACAGGAACACCAACCTTTAGAGTAACAGAGTGATTTGGAACTCAAGAACATTTAATACTATTTAGGAATTCTGGTGTATGTACGTGGTCCAAAGCTGTAAAAGCATGATCAGACATACAAATCGTATCAGAACTCAAATATGTCTTCTCAGAATTATGATTGAGTGAAACCATATAATCATTGATAGATTCCACCATGTCAAGAGTCAGAGCAAGAATTGCTCTTTGCTGGAGGTAATCTATGTCAATGGAATGTTTAAAGAAATCAGGATAAGTACTTTCTACTATTGCAGATATTGGATCATCACAATTATGTATGAGAAGATCATCGGGGATTCGAACCTTTTCAATGCCATCAACAGAACTTCCAATTCTTCCATCACCAATCTATGTCATTGGGTACTTTCTTAGTTTCAATTTATGTTTGTTGGTCTTAATTTTCAGATTGTTTGGTCCAACCACAAAGTTTTTCATAACATACAATCCCATTTCATGTATTTTTTTATATTGAAAATACGCATAACAGCTCTTCCAATAGTTGCATGAATTTGATCGCCCTAAAACAAAAAATGTGAAAAGAAATTTAAGTTAGTAAGGCGCATAAGTTGAAGAAAATACATCACAACTCAAAAAAATAACAACATGTAAAAGAGTATGCACCTTTTCATCTTGAATAATTAATTCGATTGAATTAGAATTTTCTGATTTCTTGCGGTTTGGAATGTGCCATAATCTAACAACACGAACTTTCAAATTCCAACTCATTTTGGACATTGCTATTTCGCTGATATAGTTATAGTTTGGAGCCATACTTTGCAGAAGTTTGTGTGGAAGCTAAACCCTAAGCAATGTAGAGAAGCCAAACATAAGTAAAAGTTGCTTAAATAAAGATTTGTAGAAAAGACTATAGTACTAAATCAATTTATAAGGATCTTTGCAGAAGTTTCAACGTATGATCTTTCTTGTAAGATATAAAATATGGATGTAAGATACAAAATTTATATTTAATTAATTCTTTCTTAAGAAAGAATACCTACCATAACTAAATGATACCTATATTAATGTATATTGTTCGCAAATAAGGTCAGATACAAAACTTGTATTAAATGTAGAATTATTATTTCAACTTAACATTAATGTGTAAGGTACAAAACGAAATTTTAATTGATTCTTTCTCAAAAAATAATACCTACTATAATTGAATTAGACACAAATTTAATTAAAAATACTTACAGAATATTTGTTTGCTTCGTGAAACTGCATTCATTTTTGTGTATGTACGTCCAACAGGTTCTCAAAAGAAACATTTATTGTTTAAATCTTAAAATATTTGGCTTTGATTATTTTATGAACTTTTTTAGTCTATTTTCTTTAATATAATATAGATGTAAGATACAAAATATTTATTTAATTAAGTCTTTCTTAAAAGAGAATTCCTACCATAACTAAATTATACACAAAGTTTATTTAAAAATACTTATAGTAATGTATATGATACCTGTATTAATGTATATTATTCGCAAATAAGATCAGATACAAAGCGTGTACTAAATATAGAATTAATATTTTAACTTAAAATTAATGTATAATATACCAAAGAAATTTTAATGATTCTTTCTATAAAAAAAGGATACCTACAGATTCTGAGAACATTTTTGTTAGCCGAATTGATGCTTAAGAAAGTTGCATCCCTCTTTCTAGTGTACTTGAATGGCTTGGTTTTATTTATTTATTGAATGGCTCTTGATCAACTAATAGTTTTTTTCAAAATTAGTGGAAATAGAATCCAATAAATTGTCACGACCCGGATTTCCCACCATCGGGGGTCGTGATGGCGCCTACTATCGGAGCTAGGCAAGCCAAGCCTTTTAAACATTCCCTGATTTCACCTCAACAAGGACAACATAAATATAACGAGTCATTTAAATTAAAACGGAAGTTTTTAAAACACAGATAACTGAAAAACCCAAAATGCGGAAGTTTAACATTTCTCTACCCAAGACTGGTGTCGCTATCTCACGAACTACTAAAGAGTGCTACAAAGAAGTCTGAATGGAAATACATAAGTGTCTGTCTCGGTACAATGAAACAAACTGAAAACAGAGAAAAGGGACTCCGGCCTGCGAACGCCAGCTAGGCTACCTCGTAAGTCCCTGGACTGAAGTCAGCTCCCGATCAATATACTACTGCTGTGGTCCAAAAGCTGCTCCGGTACCGTAATCTGTGCAAAAGAGCACAGAAGTGTAGCATCAGCACAACCGACCCCATGTGATGGTAAGTGCCTGGCCTAACCCCGGCGAAGTAGTGACGAGGCTAGACAGGACTACCAAACCAACCTGTGCAGTTCAATATATATATATATATATGCAATAAAAGGGAAGAATACAGAAATTAAACAGTTAAGAGGGAGGGAAGCATACTATGGGGGAGTACAGTCCGGATATAAACTCAACAATTTAAGTAAGAAACAGGGCAATAACAATAATTAATGAGAGCAGGAAAATCAACAGTTGCACGGCATCAACCTTCGTGCTTTTACTCTCATTCTCACCAAAAGCAATCAAATAAAGTGCACGGCATCACCCTTCGTGCTTTCCCTCACATAACTCTCCTATCATGGCACGGAACGATCCTTCGTGCAATTATAATCAAATCAGAGCACAGAATGTCCCTTCGTGCATAAATAATCAAAACATGGCACAGAATGACCCTTCGTGCAAATATAATCAAAACATGGCATGGAATGACCCTTCGTGCAAATATAATCAAAGCATGGCACGGAATGACCCTTCGTGCATTATCACTCTTCCTCACCCAAACAGTAATCACAATCAAACGGGGCGAGTGGATAAACAAATAATAAGAAATGTCCCGGCAAGGGAATTATACAATTAACAGCTAAATCCCGGCAAGGGAGCAACAACAATACTTTCACATCCCAGCAAGGGAGATAATCAATATACTCAAACCATCCCGGCAAGGGATTAATCATATCACTTTCTATTTCTTTCATTTCTTACTCAATAGTCTTTTTATCGTTCGAGCAAACGCTCCAAAGAATTTACAATTCAAAATTAGTCCTCATACTCTTCACATTGCATAGAATTCATCAATTAGCATGGAAGAGTCATAACAATATCAGGATAAGTACATACAAGGACCCACGGTCATGCTAGACACCGGTGTATAGATACTCGTCACCATGCCTATACACCGTACTCAACATTTAGCAATTAGCAAACAACACTCTAATCCTATTCCCTCAAGCCAAAGTTAGATCAAACACTTACCTCAAATGCTCCAAAATCAACTCAAGCCTCTAGTATAGCTTTACCCCTCGAATTCGGCTCCAACTCAGTCAAATCTATGAAATAATGACTTTACAATATTAATAATAGCTAAACAAACTAAACCCAAATGCCTAAATATGAATTTCTAAGCTTTCTACCCAAAATTCCAAAAATCGAACCCCGGGCCCGCTTGGTCAAAACCCGAGGTTCGAACCAATTCCATGTCACCCATTCCCCCACGAGCCCGAATATACACTTTGTTTTCAAATTCGACTCCAAAACGAGGTCTAAATCAAAGAAAATTGAAAAGCCCTAATTCTACCCTTTTCCCCCAGTTTACACCTTAAGTTACATGATTTAGGTCTAGGAATTTGATAAATGATGATAGAGAATGAAGAAAACGAGATAGAAAATACTTACCCAAGAAGCTTTGGTGAAGAATCGCTCTAAAAGTCACCTAGGGGATGTGGAGAAGAAGAGCTCGTGTGAAATTTGGGAATAATCCCGTCACTGGTCTGTTTTTGAGCTTTAAAAATCACTGGGCAAAAATGCCCTTCGCGTTCGCGGGAAGGGGACCGCGTTCGCGAAGGTTAAACTGGGCAGGTCATCGCGAACGCGTGGAAGATAACGCGAACGCGTAGAAGGAAATGCTGGGGGGTCCAGGTTTGTTCAATGCGGACGCGTAGAAGGCCTCACAAACGCGATGAAGGGAGCAGCAAGTCTATGCGTTCGCGAACATCTGACTGCGAACGCGAAGAGGAAGTCTCTGGGGTCCTGAACTTGACTTACGCGATCCCGATTATGGAGATGCGAACGAGTAGAAGGGGAACACCATGGGCAGTGCGAACGCGAGCCTAAGGCCGCGATCGCGAAGAAGAAAAGGCCTGTGCAAAAATTGCAGAAAATTTGCTATATTTCTAAGTGCAAAAACCACTGCGAACCACCTCCAAATCACTCCCGAGCCCTCGGGGCTCCTAACCGAGGGCTCCTAACCAAACACACACGCTAACCCAACAACATCCTACGAACTTAACCGAGCGATCAAATCGCTAAAATAACATCATAAACGAGGAATCAAACCTCAAAATCATCATATTTCATTCTAACTTCATAGACTTCAAATTTTAGATATTTAGGTTCGAAACACGTCAAATGACGTCCGATTTCGACCAAACTTTATAGAAAGCGCTTAACACATATTTAAGACTTGTTCCGAGCGTCGGAACCAAAATACGAGCCCAATACCATAGTCTTTTAATCAATTTTCATTTCCATTTTCCTTAATAATTCCAGAAAAATAATTTCACAGAAAAATTCTTTTCCTCGGGCTCTAGACCTCGGATTTCGACTCCGGGCACATGCCCGAGCCCCTTATTTTTCTACGGACCCTCCGGGCCCGTCAAATCGCGAGTCCGGATCCGTTTACCAAAAATGTTGACCGAAGTCAACTTTAATCATTTTAAAACTACATTTTGAAATTTTTTACAGAATTTAACATATAATCTTTCCGGCTACGCGCCCGGACTGCGCACGCAAATCGAGGCAACTAAAAGGTGAGGTTTTTAAGGCCTCGGAAGCACGAAAAAAGAGAGAAATCCGCTGATGACCCTTTGGGTCGTTATATTCTCCACCTCTAAAATAATCGTTCGTCCTCGAACGGACAAAAGAAAGAAGTACCTGAGTCGGGAAATAGATGAGGATAACGGCTCCGCATATCAGACTCGGACTCCCAGGCCGATGCCTCAGGAGGATGACCTCTCCACTGGACACGCACTGAAGGAAAACTCTTCGACCTCAACTGTCGAACCTCCCGATCTAGAATAGCTACCGGCTCCTCCTCGTAAGACAGATCCTCGTCCAACTGGACAGTGCTGAAATCTAACACGTGGGCTGGATCACCGTGATACCTCCGAAGCATGGACACATGAAACACTGGATGCACGACTGACAAGCTGGGCGGCAAGGCAAGTCTGTAAGCCACCTCTCCCACACGATCGAGAATCTCAAACGGACCAATGAACCTAGGGCTAAGCTTGCCCTTCTTCCCAAATCTCATCACGCCCTTCATAGGTGACACTCGGAGCAAGACCCGCTCACCAACCATGAAAGCTACATCTCGAACCTTACGATCCGCATAACTCTTTTGCCACGACTGAGCCGAACGAAGCCTGTCCTGAATGATCTTGACCTTATCCAAGGCCTCCTGAACTAAATCTGTACCCAATAACCGAGCCTCTCCCAGCTCAAACCATCCGACTGGAGACCGACATCGCCTACCATACAATGCCTCATATGGAGCCATCTGAATGCTGGACTGGTAGCTGTTGTTGTAGGCGAACTCTGCTAAGACAAAAACTGGTCCCACGAGCCTCCAAAATCAATGACACAGGCTCGGAGCATATCCTCCAATATCTGAATAGTCCTCTCGGACTGGCCGTCCGTCTGAGGATGGAATATTGTGCTCAACTGAACCTGGGTGCCCAACTCCTGCTGAACTGCTCTCCAGAAGCGCGAGGTGAA